TTATTTAATCATTTTTGTGTGCTGGCTAAACCAAATTCCTATCAATAATAGCGAAATCCAATTCGATTACATACGGCTGTAGTAATAAATATTTATTTACTTTCATTACTTGTAATGGTTCTGCAGGTCATGATTAATTTGAAAAAAGTGTTTACTTCATTCAAAAGTTATAACTATGTATTTGTCGATTCCAACTTTTATAAGAATAAAAATCGGAAATCGAAAAGATTCATGCCTGTTCAACAGACATGGTCGCGAAAAACTCCCCTTCGCCACGCTCACTACAGAGCCGGGACACTCCATACATTTAACATAGGCGAGAGTTGCAGCTACATCTATTGAACTACCCTGGTCCCCATTGAATGTTGAATGAAATTAGTTCCTTAGAATGACACAGATGTCACTACGTGGTATAATCTGTGTCAATGTGCACCTTTTTTGTTGATTTTTTTTTATAATTATAAGTAGAAAAAGTCAACAAGACATTGACATTGTCACATTGAAAATTTATATAAAAGTTTGATAAAATGATACAAATTGATGGTTTTGGTTGAAAAAGTGAAATAGTAAAATGAAATATAAAGTTTCAAGATTCATTGCTAAGCCCATCGTGAATATAAAGCCTTGTGTATCTCGTGTGTGATTTCCTTCTAGCTTCTGCGATTTCAAAGTTTTGTGCGAAAAAAGTACGTGCGTTATGGACGTTAGTACTGTATAAGTATTGTGCGGAAAGACACTTATTTAATGTGCGATATGGACACTTTTTCTGTATAAGGTTTTGTGTGCAAACGCTTGTTGTATGTGCGATACGGAGGCTTTTCTGTTTACGGTGATGTGGAAATAAAAGCTATGGCCCAAATGTATTATGATACGATATAAATATTTCCAAATAAAAAGGAGTGAGTGCTGTTTTTTTTTATTAAATCCACCTTGTTCCTACGCAGGTAATAATAGCAACGATGTGTAAAGTGCGGCAGTGTCTTAAATCATTTTAATTTCGAAGTGCATAATATATCAATGCAATTTGAAAATAAAATGATTACTGAACTGTCGTACTTGATAAGTATGACGAGGTAAAATATTTATGTATACGGATACGGATATTGTTAATATTTAGTGTATGGGATTGAAAGATAGGTGGCGCTGGCTGCTGCGCTAACATTCCTTGACTGTCCTCTTTTTCCATATATATTATAGTACTATTTGGCTCACTATCAGGGAATGCCTACTTTACAATTGAAAAGTAAAACAAGTCTGAATTCAAACAAAATGTATATATTTATATTATAAAACGTACAACTTTAACATCACCAGACGTACAACTAAACGGCACATGACAATTACTCTTACGTTACAGACGCCCGCGCGGGGTTGGGGGGGCGCCGATAATTTACAAACAACAAACGCTTTTCAATTTAATTCCGAACCCGCCGCGAAGATTGAATAATACAAGTCGAGATATCAAAAAACTCGAAACGGGGCGGCAACAGAGGAGCTACAGCGAGCGGTGCGCGGCCGCGGGGAGAGTCGTACCTTCGGCGGACATTTTCGAACCTTTAATAAATTTCCCGTAGTTCTGCCATACTCAACATTAACAAAATGCGGCCGCGGTTTTCTGGCGTCCGAGAGGGCGGCGACGCTCCTCGCAACCGCCCTGCCACGCCGCCGCTAGCATCGTCGCCATAAGACACTTCTTCCCCAAATCACCCGATCTTCGATCACATACACATGCTAGTTTTCTGTGTATTGTTTATTCGAAATTCCCGATATATGTTAGAAAAAAGGCGCGGCTACTGGAGAGATGTTAATAGTAATAATTCCTTGGTCAAAAATTTCACATTTCATATTCAACATACTCTCGTCCAAACAGGGCGATGTGTCTACAACTTCTAGTCTACAGCAGACGTTACTTACAAAATCTAAACATACACCGTTCGACGCAAGCAAGTTTGTTTGTTTACAAAGACAACGTTTGGTAGATGTCGGTGCGTTGTGAGGGGCGCGTGAGGGGTGTAAAGTGCGTGCGGGGCGTGGGACACGGGGCGCTAGGTGCAGGGTGCGTGGAGCGGAGCGAGGGGCGCGGGTTGACAGTACCATGAGGGGTGCGGCGCGGGGTTCGGGGTGCGGAGCGATGGGCGCTGTTAACGGTGGCGTGAAGGGTACGGAGCGCGGGCGGGCATCAAGGGCGGCGGGTTATAGTTCGTCGTCGCCAGTCTCCAGTTCGGAGCTCTCGACTGCAACTTCATCGTAGTCGCGTTCCAATGCCGCCAGATCTTCGCGAGCCTCAGAGAACTCCCCTTCTTCCATACCTTCGCCCACATACCTATGCGAACATTTTACATTTTTATCTAAAACACAAATAACCCTGGATATCTACATAAACCAAGTCAGGGGGTAAAAACTAAAGGCTTGTAGTGCGTAGGTTGTGCGCTAACAATCAACATCAACATGTGAGGTCCATATCACGTGACATACCAGTGAACGAAAGCGCGCTTGGCGTACATCAAGTCAAACTTGTGGTCGAGTTTGCCCCACGCCTCGGCGATGGCTGTCGTGTTGCTCAGCATGGACGCAGCGCGTTTCACCTGCGCCAGGTCACCGCCGCACACCACCGACGGTGGCTGGTAGTTGATGCCCACCTGCACAGCGCATACAAATACTTTGCGCTCATGCAGCTCTCCAACCACAAATACTATTACTGTCCTTGTTAATTAATGAGGAAAAAAATACTAATGGCATAGATATTTGAGTTAATGCGATATAGGCCATCAGCAGGAATAAATAAGAGCTCGGTAATATTTAAGACATATGTAAAACCTTAAATCCAGTTGGGCACCAGTCGACGAAGCGAATGCCGGCGCGCCCCTTCATGCTGGCGATGGCCGCGTTCACGTCTTTGGGCACTACGTCGCCGCGGTACAGCAAGCAGCACGCCATATACTTGCCCTCGCGCGGGTCGCACTTCACCATCTGGTTCTGCGGCTCGAACAGTTCGGCCGTAATCTCCGATACAGACATGCCTTCGTGGTATGCCTTGTCCGCTGACACCACGGGCGCATATGCAGCCAAAGGGAAGTGGATGCGCGGGTAAGGCACCAGATTGGTCTGGAACTCCGTTAGGTCTACGTTCAGAGCTCCGTCGAAGCGTAACGACGCCGTGATCGACGACACCACCTGCCCAGAGCCGCTTGTCATTACAAACATCATCAAAGTATGGCAGATAAACGCAACGCGGCCGCATCGATCACTCTTACGTCATATGCCATACATATACCTCAACAATTTAGTGCACCTGTCTCTCTCAGTTGTATTAATTTTCTAGCAACGAGCGAACGCTTAGTTTCGCAAAACTATCCAAGTGTCTGCTCATAGATATCTTATAGAAATTAGCTTTTAAAGGCATTGTCTACTTTAATGGGAGGGGATAGTATGTATAGAAAAGGAATTTCTCTTAGACAACCTCTATGCCTGCGTTTGAACTATCCTTTCCCATTCTATTATTTCAAACGAAAAGAGTGCTAGATTTTGCCCTCCGACACATTCTTCTTCTTTTCTGCTTAGTAGTGGTATTGGACACCGTTTGTGCAGAAGCATGACGCTGCTGCGGCCTCTACAGCTTTTAATACAATATTAAATGTCTCTCTAGGATTAGGATTGTCATTGCCACTCTTAGCTACAGCGTCTTACACAAGCACCTGAGATATGAGCCTGTTTAGGTTGGCGTAGGAAGGGCGTTCGATGGAGAGGCGTCGCCGGCAGATGTCGTAGATAGCTTCGTTGTCCACCATGAAAGCGCAGTCCGAGTGCGCCACCGTCGCGTGCGTTGTCAGCACCGCGTTGTATGGCTCCACTACTGCCGTCGATACCTGTGTACCACTCATCTCTTACCTCTCCTTTCTTCTATCCGATGGTGACTAACAATTGTCATTAAACACTACCATGGCCATTAGGGAAAAGTATTTTGTTACACCCGAGTAAAATACGAAAATACTTATAGGAAGCTAAAAAAGGTGCGGGCAGAGATGGGTACGACATCGCAGTTATATTAATCCCTCTGCTCGACAGCAAATGACCAATTATTACCAGGTCGTAATAATTATTTTATCGTGTTATATAGTGTATGTTGTATGGTGTTCAAGGAAAGGGATGAAATGTTACCTGCGGCGCGGGGTAGATGGCAAACTCCAGCTTACTCTTCTTGCCGAACTCGTCTGACAACTTCTCCATGAGCAGCGACGTGAAGCCCGAGCCCGTTCCGCCGCCGAATGAGTGGAACACGAAGAAGCCCTAATAACACGCCATCCCATGATTATTTTATAACAAATATTGTCTTCTAAGCAATGGCGAGTTTATGAGTCTCTTACGTAACTACTTATTCCTTGTACATTTTCATTTAGTGACCGACCATTAACTATTATAAATTACTATTCCATAAAAAAAATACAATGATCACAATCCTTTGATGGACAACTGGTCGGCTATCTCGCCAGCGCCTTCTGCATCCTGGCTTCTGATCAATCTAATGACAATCAGTGTCGAAGACTGCCTCTTCATGTATTTCAATATAAACGATATTATATATTTCTCTTCACTTTTTGATAAATGTAACAGGAAAGCTTTTAGTCAGTTCACTTATTCTGCTTTGAATAAGAGAGGAGCAAGCTACCTGCAGACCGGTGCACTGGTCGGCTAGCTTGCGCACACGCTCCATGACGGGCTCGAGGATGTCGCGACCGGTGGAATAGTGACCGCGCGCGTAGTTGTTGGCCGCGTCCTCCTTGCCCGTGATCAGCTGCTCGGGGTGGTACAGCTGCCGATACTCTCCCGTGCGAACTTCGTCTGCAACAAACACCCGCACACCCGTTACATTGCTCATCCTGCGGTTTGCATCCCGGAAGCACCCTGACCACGCGGCGTATATCACCTTCACGGCTTACATTATAATAGGTGGTCATCATTGCTTTCACTATTCAAGAACCTTGTGTTAAAACATTTATTAACGGTGTTCAACTATGTAATATTTAATTAACACTCAACCAATGCTTTGCAACTGGATACCTAACTTCCTAAGGCAACCTAATACCCTAATCGTCATCTCGAGTCATCGGTGATCTCGTCAGCCGTGGCCTGAGAAGATGGAGGCATTCTTTACCTATGACCGTAGCCTCCAGGTCCACCATGACTACGCGCGGCACCATCTTGCCGCGGTCCGCCTCCGAGAAGAAAGTGTTGAAGCAGGAGTCGGCGCCGGCGTCCGCGTCGGCTGCGGGCAGCGTGCCATCGGGCCGGATGCCGTGCTCCAGGCAGTACAGCTGCCAGCACGCCACGCCCATCTGCACGCCCGCCTGCCCCACGTGCACCGAGATGCACTCCCTCTGCAACACCAGCACCACAACAAACATCGCCTCGCGCCTCACGCGCCCTCCCACGCTGTTATATGAGTACCACCATTGGGCTGCTCTTCTGACCGTCCCCTCACATATCAGAGTTCAATATATAGATAATACATGATAAGCACAGCTAAAACCATAACTTAGGTTCTTATGGCAAATAAAATATGTACAAATATATTTTCATTATGAAAATTCATTAGTGAAATTAACTATAACAAAAAAGAAGTTTTGTTTGCTTGTAATCGATTACCTCGCGTGAGTTTCTGTAACGCAACCGGTGCTGCCTATCCGCACGGGCGGGCTGGCCTTCCGCAGCGCTCAACTCCTAAACGGGCCTTACGTTTTTAAAAGATTTCGAAAAACAGCAACGTCCGATAATACTTTCAAATACATTCACTTTGCAGTAAAATTTAAAAACATCACTTATAAGCGACGCGGTACGACTAATTGGTAAAGTCCTACATGTGGTAACACGTGCATACTTCAGCTGAGACACAAACTGAACAAAGGAAAAAAAACGAATACACTATCATTGAGCTAATGAATATTGTAAGCTGCGACCGCGGTTGCGTCGCGGTTGCGTCGCGGCTGCCGTGCGGCTACCGTGCGGCTACCGTGCGGCTGCGGCGCACCTCGAGCGCGCATCACCGTATTGTGAAAAACTAATTTTATGGTAAAATGAAATACAAAAAAGTACTCACCATTATGAACACTAAAAATTTATCTTAATCTGTTTTAAAAAGGTGTTAAAAAATAATTGTAAATCGATATAAGGCTACAAAAATTTGGTGCGGACTGAAATTTAGAAAAAAATTGCGCATCTGCGGCCTTCAGTTGGCCGACCGCGTCGCGCCGCTTGTTCCGCGTTTGAATGTCCCTCGCGCGCCGGCCAGTCCTGCGAGCGGCCGCGCTTCTAAAAAAGGTTTTATATTTATTTATCAATTATTATTATTTAACTGATCAATATTTCAGTTTAATTTTTAATTAATTTGTAGTCCCGTCTTGCCAGGGATGTATTTACAGCCTCGTACGCCAGAGGCCTCATGGTTATTTAATTCGATTCAATATATTTGAATTCTGTTTATCTTGCAACCGAACCTACGAGTATAACATACGCGTTTGTAAAAATAAACGATGAAGACGACTGGGGAGAGGAAATTTATACAAAACTGTGATAACATATTAGTTGAATGGTAACATACTCGTAATTGAAAGACCGTCCATGATTTCGTTAGTCATGCATTTTATGAAATGTAATATATCATAGTAGCTTCCGCCTGCGGCTCCGTCCGCGCGGAATTAAAAAAATTAGCCTATGTGTTCTTCTAGACTCTAGACCAACCCCTACATTTATGCCAAATGACACCGAAATCCGTTCAGCTGTTTAGTTTACAAACTCTAACAAACATCCATCCTTCCATCCATCCATCCATCTAAACTTTCGCATTTATAATATTAGTAAGAGTAAGATATTATGTTGCAACAACTCCGCACCCGACTTCAAGAAAGTGTCCCTTCCACTACACAGCGGGTTCAGATGTGACCCGAATCACTTTTACAAAGTTAAAATACTAGATCACAACTGAAGGAGCTTACTTATTTAGATAATTACTGCAGGGGCAGGTGGTTTGCCGATAGGTCGATTCGGTCTACTTGATACCTTTGCATTGGACGCGGTCAATCCGCAAAATATTTAAACGTTGAAACTACAAGGGTGGAGAATGTATCTCGAGCGAGCAAGCGGGGAGCCGCCGCTAACGAGGGGTTGCGCGGCCCCGGCGACGATCGATTGCGCCCGCGCCGCGCCGTCACCCCTCGTCTTGTAGATTTGCATGTTTCTATTTACTCTTCTCTTTAAACTGAAGTCCTCATTTCCAGATATTACTTCAAAATCCTGGCGATGTTTTTTGGTAGATTTCAATGTATGTAAAAAACTATACATTTATATAGATATGTATGTAAAATCGTGCATCGTTTTAACGTTATCCACAACAAAGTCAAATTAAACAACATGTATGTATGGTAGTATAAACACTCGCCGTGAAGAACCCGACGAAGATCTGAGGTGTTGCCGCCGGATTATTATACCGCATCATATCATATCATATGTGTAAGTAGTTACTACAATTAATTATTAGACCTAATGAATGTAATGAATGTTTGTTACTAGGTATCTCTAAAACGGCTTTGGAGATTTCGTTGAAATGTTGCTCAGATGTTGAACATAGTCTATCAAGATAACTAGCAAATAATCAAAGGATCTTGACAAGTGTTCGACAAATAACGGTCCCTGAGAGATCGCGCGGCAGCTGGAGTGCAGCGTCAGAGTGCCGAGAGATGGTATCTGCACAATTACCACTAATATTGCCCGATAACATCTCCAAGTGCACGAGGGCCGCCCCGCCGCCCCGCCGCCCCATGTTCGCACACCGCTGCAAACACCATACTACTCCGTTCCTAATGGCAAATTACAATTTGTTGATCGAAATTGAAGTTATGAAAAATGGTAAGTCAAATATCTAAATAACTGAACTTCAGAATTGCAATATAAGCAAATTAGGAAGTCGTTTATTTTAAACCTATATCTACACTAATATTATAAACTAGCTTTTGCCCGCGATTCCGTTTGTGTGGAATTAAAAAAAAACAGACAAAAGGAAATTCCATCGAGATCCGTGGAGTCGTTTAGGCTACAAACTTTACAAACATCTATTCACCCATCTAAACTGTATTGTACTTTTCTTTCGCATTTATAATATTAGTAATATAGAAAAGATTTTTATTTTTGTAGGTATTTCATTCAAGCAAAAACTACCGGATCGACTTTAAAATTAGTTTTATCATTAGAAAGGTAATTTATGCGTGAGTAACATAAACTATATTTTGTTATTACTAATGTTGTGGAACTAATACTAAACACTATATTTCTGGCCCCCGGCGTTAAAAAATCACTATATTTAAGTTTCCGGCTTACGCTGCCTAAGAAGGAAGGAATTGTAGATCTTAAAAAGTTCTACAGAAATGTCCGCGATAGCATATTTAACGGTTTTCTTATACTAACCACATTTTTGTTTACAAAATGAATTAAAATCCGCATGTTACTTGCGTAGTTGTTTTATTGGTTTCAGTATTAATCCTTTTTCAAATAAATGCATTTGATGTAAGGAAAATTTGTTCTTACAGTATTTAAATTGGACAAATAGAAGACATTGCGAACACTAACAATTAGGTTAACCGAAAAATCAGCGCACAAACAACGTATTGGGCTTAGAAATTTGGAATCTGGCATCAGTAAATTTCTGTTAATACGTAGATTACTACCAAGTTAATACTGCTAAGTTTTGAACTTTTAAACTCCACTTGGACGAAGTCGTGGGAAACAGCAAGTGCGTAAATAAACAAACATTACAACTCAGCCACTTTAAATGGCGGAGATTTATTTATCTCTGTGATAGTATTTACATCAACGCATGTCGTTTGTAAAAGAAGCGGTCGCTGCCGGCGGACCGCGGGGCCGGGGCCGCATGTGCCGCGCACCTGTCGAAGGGCATTTCGATCGCCGCCGCAAGTATTCGAGTGAATGCAGGAATTACCGGCGCGAGGTGTGGCACTAATAAAAAATCCCATTTTATGCAACAGAGGCGGAATAATGAGCGCTTTTTGCGACGTAATCCGGATCAGATATCCGCGGACCCTCGCGCCCGGCCTTGCGCGCTACGGCTTTCATATTCATGACTCTTCCTCCCCGCCGCCCCTACACCCGCCGTCGTCACACGCCCCGCTGATCCATGCCCCATATTTCCAAATTACTCTGTGTTTCAGTAAATGCAGTTAATGTATAAATTATCTACGACTTCTAGCAGTTCAGCAAACTCAAAAATATGACATATACTAAAATTGGCCAAGTATATTTAACTATTGATACAGTAACATCTCGCTGCTGAATTATAGTATATGTAACTATTCCTTCACCCGTATTTGTGAAACACGAATCGAACATACTTAGCTGTATTTCAAAATGATTTGACAATTTGACCTTAGGGTTATAGAGACATAAGCAAAGAGAGACAAAGAGCGCGCTTGTACAATAGCTAGGACCGGCCCGTGAGGTGGAGATGATATCACACATGTACATGTCTCATTACTCACACGTACAATTGTCTCAATTAACTGTCTTAAAAACTCATTTAAAAATCTACACACTTCACAAAACGAGCAACTTTAGAGTTTATTGTCCGTTTTTATTAGGCGAGGGTATGCGCGCGCGCGCTTCACAACATCTACCTCAGACATGAGATATTGTATGAGTAAATAATATGAAATATTATCGTTTAAACACTAATAATTCAATGCTATGAGAAATATGACGTAATTCCCTTGTTGCTTGATTATGTCAAATTACTTGTTATGAAAAGAAAACTGACACAAAACATAATATTCTACGACAAATAGCACAAGGAACATCACTAAGGAACTAAAACCGACATTAACCAATGTCTGTAATACAGAGAGTGCAAGCATTAATAAAAATATGATGTTAATAAAAACATTGCACTACATAATATAAAAATATTTACTGGCACCCCTCTCCTAGGACACATTATTTTTTTAAGATAAACGATATTTTTGAGCCTAAATCCATTTTTTGGGTAAAAATGTTTGTCTGCATGAATGCATGCATTGTACGCGACGCGGCGCCAGATGGCGGGCAGGGGCCGCCGCGCCACAGCCGCGA